CCGCGGACTGCGCATCAAGGGCGGAAAAACGGCCGCGGACTGCGCGGCAGGGCGGAAAAACGGCCGCGGACCATGTGGCACGGGTGGAAAATGGCCGCAGACCACGTGGCACGGGCGGAAAAATGGCTGCAGATCCGGTTTGTACCCCAAGGCAGAGTTCGCAAACCGAGGTAAATTTTTGCGGCCGGAGCTGGTCGCAACCCGAAAAGTTCGTAAGCAGAGGCGTTTGTAACCCGAGGTACTACTGTAATGAATACTTCACCAATCACATTAATACTGCGCATTTATTGCATAATTTATGGCAATTACTATGTTACAAAACACAACTAGTTCACGCTATATAAGCCCAAACAAATTACATGTTACTGATAGGACTGTTTTCTACAGTATCTCAAAAGCTAAGAAACTGATTGTCATTGGGTTTGGAAATTTATGTCTCCCTTCCTTCCTTCCTTCCTTCCTTCCTTCCTTCCTTCCTTCCTTCCTTCCTTCTTTCGTATCACTGTAAATCAGACTTTTTGGAATTAAGCAGCATATAAGAAATACGAAGGCTTAGTGGTTTTTGCTTGTTTTTAAGTACTGCAGAGGTAGATGGTAATAGAAACAAATTTAGAAATAAAACCATTTTTCCAGCAAAATTAGATAGGTCTCTGTAGTTCAAGATGTGATTACTGATGGAAAATCAGTAATTGCTAAACAAATATTCTAAAGGTATAAGACAACGGTTCAGTTCTTCCAGTAAAACTAGTTCACTAATTCCTTCTTAATTTATAAAATAGTAACTACTTCAGTTATTTTAAAAAAGAGACTTCCAAGAGACCTCCTATCAAGCACAACAGGCTCAAAACTGCTGAGCAATGATTTGATGAGTCCACTTGGAATTCTTTGTGGCATCAAATTCCTTTTAAATCTATCCCAGCAAGTTACCAAATATCAACATATAAAATAATATATAAATAATACCTTTCTTAGATTGTAGCCAAGGAGTTATAAATAAAATGGTAAGTTGGTGACAACGTCCAATTACTCTTCTAAGATTTTTTTTTTTTTTTACAAAAATTGCTCAACAGTCTTTGGTAGTTCATCCTGCTGTTGGTTTTCAGCATAGTTTCTGAAGAATTAGTGCAGCTTTAGAACTGAATCCAATTCCTGTCATTAGATACGTTTATCATAGATGACTGCTTTGAAGGATTGTAGATAAAACTAATTATACCAATAATATATCTCAATATAATGTAGAGTAGGTAAGGAATGTTCATGACACAAAGCTTCCCTTCTAAATTGTTTAAATCACCAAAATGCAAGGGATTGTTTGTGGTAACAAAAAACATTAAAGATGCTAGGAATTTGTAAACTAAAACAAAAAAAGTCAAAATACCAAATTAATCCTAAAACCATTTGTAATAAATATTAAATGTATGCATTTTTTAAATAATGAGAATCTAGACCATATGTATTTTTTCTATAAAATAGCTTTAATATAATTTTAAAGCTTTCTTACCATGGCCTGCATATGGCTTGGCACTGTCATTAAGAAGGCTAGGTGAACTGCTGCTATTTGTCATCCTCTGCAGAAAATGAAAAACAGAATTGTATAGTGAATTAAGCTATTAAGACCATTTGTCTCCAGATCTCTATAACTCAAAATGGATTAACATGGATTAATGTTCATAGAATCACAGAGTCAGAAGGGATCTTAGAAGTCATCTAGTCAAAAACCTACTTAGATGCTTTACAGCATCTGTGACAGTTAATCATCCAGCCTCTGTTTGGAGACCTCTTGTGAAGAACTCACTACTTAATGTAGTAGCCTATTCTACTTTCTGACAGCTCACACAGGCAAAAACTTCCTCCTGAAGTCCTCCTTGAACCTACTTCCTTGTAGCTTTAACCTACTGGTTGTGGCAATAAAGAGAATCCACTCCTTTATCTATGAGATAACCCATCAGATAATGAAAATTGCTATATCATATCTCCTTTCAGTTACCTCTTCTATTGTTCAAACATACCCAAATCCTGTAACTGTTTCTCACAGGATTTGGCTGCAGGCTGTTCGCCTTCTTAATATTTGTCACTGTCCCTTCTGAACAGCTGTATCCAGAAATGGACACTATATTCCTAGTGGGATCTAACCAAGGCAGAGTACAGTAGAATAATTACTTCCTGTGAACTGGACTCTAGGCTTCTGTTGCACCCCAAGATAGCCTTTGCTTTGTCAGCAGCTACATCATAATTCCCACATTTAACTTGTAGCTGACAACAGCACCCAGATCCTTTAGCATTTACAAGCCAGGCCTCCCTCACCTTATATGTGCACCTTTCATTTTTCCAATCCAGATGCAGATCGTCACATGCTTCCCTGTCAAATTCTATCCAGTCATTTAAGCCATAGTTGAAGCTTGTTTAGATGTTTCTGAATTTTCTCCCTCTCCTGTTAGCCACCCTCCCATATTTGCATGATTTAAATTAGAGACTCCACAGGGCTTGGGTCAGCCCTTCAAGGTAGATAAGACTAGGAAACTAAAACCATGTAGGCTAATACTACTTTTATTATAAAGTTATGGTAACAGAATCTTGCAAGTCTGAATGTGCTTCACCCCACTCCTTCCACCCTTTATCTTCATGAGAAATCAACCCAATTATAGGAGATTCTATGCAACTTACAATAAATCCAGTACAACAAAATAAACATAACAAAAATACAGTAATCAAACAAATAAATGAAGTGTTCATACCAGACTAACAATCATAATCCTCCTTTGAATTTCCAGGAGAATCATCATAATTCACCTTACAGCTTTCCATCCTGGAAGGCTCTGCATTTTAGTTTAACAACTTTCCTGAATATCATCAGAGAAAAAGTCCTTGGGGGCAAACTGTTCCAAAGAGGAAAGCCATAACAGAGAATGCCCTTGCCTGACTTACCATCCAGCAGATGGGGAGTTGCAACTTCTCTGCTAGAACCTACTAGTGGGTAGATTTTAGCTGGAGTAGATGGTCTGGAAGATATGCAAGCCCTAAACATTGAAATGTGCCCAGGAGCAAATTGACAATCAATGTAGCTCTCACAACAGAGGTCTTGACCTATATCTCACCCCTGATCATTTTGCATCAATTGAGCTCCTGAATCATGTTCAGGAGCTGCTCCAGAGAGTGAATTAAACTATTTTTACTATGATAAAGGCATCAGAGTGACTTGATAGCACTTCCTATTTCCAAAGAGTTCTTTAACAATATACTAATAGGTGATCTCATTATAAAAAGAAAGCTGGAGCATAGATTCTCAAACTGTGGGCCACAACCCTTTAGGAAGTTGTGAACAATTTTTTTTGAGGGGGGCATTACAAATT